TTTAGATTAAAAAAATTACCTTTTTAAACCATGGCAAAACCTTTGCATGACCAAAAAGGAAATTTTAAATTAAGAGCAATCATTATCATTATAATTAAAATAATGTGACCTTTGCTGAGTGGTGTCTTTTTCTTGTCATAAAAAAAAAAGTGATCTCCATATTTTATTGTAGAACATATTTTCATATGTTTATGGAGCTTAAATTGAGATGTATGATTAGAATATGTCTAAAATTTGTTTTGAATGAAGAAATTACGGGGGTAGATTATTAAGTTAAAACTTAGAATAGCTTTTGACAGATTATTACGTTTGAGTTTTTGATTTATACTGAATCAAAGCTTAGAGACTGAATTTAAATTAAAATAAAACCCAAAAATCAAATTATTAATTTTTTTATTCTAACAATATTGTATTATATTTTTACGTCACAAGTTTACACACACACACATATTGCCTCCTAGATAAAAACCCTTTCTAACCATTAATTGTCAATGACTCAATGTCATGGACCGTGAAAAATAAGGGGAGAATGGATGCTGCATATTTTTAACACACCAATTGATGTCTTGAGTTGTTTACTTAGTACACCACCCTCGAAACCACTTAATTTACTCAAAAATTAAATGCATACACAACAAATGTGTTGCCTCTATAATTGATTAATGGAGTTCGCAGTTTTAGAATCGCTTGTGTTATATTTGGAATCACATTTCAAACATAGTTTTTGAGTTGTTTTTAATAAATTATATTATGAACGTGATTTGAGACGCTACTCCAAACACGCACTTATACATTATGTTATTAATTTGTTTTTTGTTTTTATAGGTACTTAGTTACTTTTCATGGTTAGTATTGAAATTGACTTGATGAATTGGTGCTTGTATTCCTTATTTCTATTAATGACATGATTTTATTTTTTAAAAAATTATAAAAATTTCAATAGACACACTCAAAATACTTTATCCATTTAAAAATATAAGACATTTTTTAAAAAGTTAGATATTAAAACATAGAAGACATTTTTAATATTTTAAGGTATAATCATTACATTTTTTTTCAAAAACGCTTCTAATGAATAAATCAATTTATATTTATTTTAGAGTGAAACACTCAATTGAATAGAGATAAATATAAAAAAATGATGTTATTCTAAAGATATGTAAATACTTTATTGGGAATGAGATTTAATTTAAAATGCCTTATATTTTTTAATTGGGGGAGTGCTATTTAAAAGTTCTAAGAGGGGAGGTGTTCATAAGTTATAGACAGAATTTTGTTCTTAAATTAATTTATCTCTTTTTATCCTCTTTTTAATTAAAAGGTTATTACTTGGAATGACTTGAAGCAGTTTTTTTTTTTTTTTTTTTTTTTTGCGGTCTGAAAGTTGAAGCAATTTGTTGAGGACAATGAAAAGGAGAATTTTCCTTTTCCCAATCATGATAAAATTATCACTAATAAAGGATAAAATTATGTATCTTTTGATGATTTTATTATAGAGCTTGAAACATCAACTAATATTTTTTTTATTTTCCATTAAATAATTCATTTTTTCTCTAAATTCTTTAATAAAATATTATTGTATACTCAATCATTATTACTTCATGATTAAAATACATGGCATTTTTGAGTTAATAGTGTCATTACTTTTAAAACAAAAATTTAGTTAAGATCATAAAAGTAGCTTTCACAACTAAAATTAATCTTAGTGCGCGTTTGATTTTTAATTTGTTAAAAATTTATTTAATGAAAATTAATTTAATAAAAGTTAGTTGTTTTAACGAAATTTATATTTAGATAAATTTTTTTTAAAATTAGTTTAATAAACTAAAAATTGTTGGATTAATAATGATTTGTGTTTTTGAAATATACTTTTAAATATATACTGATAAAAAAAGAATATTAATTTATAATAATTTATAATTTTTATTATAAAAATATAATATATTAAAAATGTGAAAAAAATTCAAAACAACATAAAATTTAATGCGTTAAATAATAAAAATAAAAAATATAAAGTTTAATATTAAAAAAATGTAATAAATATTTCAACAGTCATTAATATTGAATGACGTACCCTATAAATAGGGGTGTGCATGTAGCCCGATTGCCCGATATGCCTGCCTGAACTCGGTAAAATTTTGCCCAATCCAGCCCTAAAAAAAAGCTGCCCGACATGACTTGGGCATGTTTGGGTAGGGCATTATTCGGGCAGGGTCGGGCCACGGGCAGGGTAGCATGCCCTGCCCATTTGGCCCAACCTGAGTAAATTAATATATTTTTTAAATTTTTTAAATGATCAATTATATTAACTATTAAGACTTAAGAAAAGATGAAAAGAGGAATTGGGAAGAAGTTTTTTGTAAATTAAAGTATATTCTATGAAATTATTTTTTTTTCATGATGCTCCAAACTTTTGTAAAATTTATTGTTTTTAATGGATTATTGTAGCTATTATTTTGGATTGCATTATGGATAATTTCACTATGTGTCAAGACTTATAATAGTTTTATATTTCAAATTAGATGTTGAATTATAGATAATTGGATATCATAGCTGTTATTTTGTATTTATGATTTACATTTTTATGAATGTTATTTTGAGTTGATGGGTTGGGTCATTATTGTTGATTTATGGTAGTTTCATTTGAAATTAATGGAAAGGGAGATTATTTAATGGGCAGGGCGACCCGAAGGTGCCCAGCTTGCCTTGCCCAGCCCAAACTAATAGGGCATTTTACGGGCAGGGTTGGGCAACGGGCTACATTTTTCAGCCCATGCATCCTTTGGGCAGGGCATCGGGTAAGGCCTTGCCCAGCCCAACCCTGCCCATGTGCACCCCTACCTATAAATAGGATTAAAAATATTTTTTTTCTTTTTCATATATAAAAGATTTACAAAATTGCCTCCTTATATAATCTATTTGACCTTGTGGTTATGGCACTAAATTCAAATTCTAATAAAACAAAGTATGCAATAAGTATTGTAAAGAAATAAAGACAATATAATAAATTTAAAAATTCAACACTAGAAAATCAATTTGAAAAGCTCCACAAAGTTAAGTTCTCAAATCTACCTTCAATAGCTTTCTTAATGTACATTTAAAAAGTCAATTTGCTCAATTGTGAAATTTTCAAACAACATCCTACATTCAAAAAGTATAAAAGTACATCAAAAAAGCTAAAAGTTATGTATCCAAATGGGCTCTTAATTCCTTCATGATATTTTTATTTTTCTAAAAAATATTTAAATTTAAATTGCAAAAATAAAAATGAATTCTTTATTTTGGGATAAATTATCTAACAAATAATCACACATTAATATGTGAATAATATTATTAAAAGGCACAGATAAAAAAATATCATAAAAGGTAAGTATTGATTTTATTTTAGCATATACAAAAAAAAATACCATAAAAGGTAAGTATGCATTTTATTTTATTCTTTGCATGGATAGTTTTTTTTTTTTAATTCACAAGTATTTTATTATTTGAGAAAATTTTGTTTGAGATATGATCAAACAATAAATGTGAGTATCTCTCATGAAAAAAAATTTAAATTTTGATCTTTTATATTACAAGAAACTAATTCCTTTTATTAAGTCCAACTCCCTTTGGTAAATAATTTTCCTTTAGTCTCTTGTCAAATTATTTTTCTTGCCTAAAGCCCTAAACTATGTCATATTAATTTAAGACCGCGCTTTCAAGGGGAAAAAAAAAATAGCGAGTAGGTCCGCGCATGAATGGATAGGTAAATTGAAGTGTTTTTTCCCTAAAAAAAAATAATAAATACACAAATATTGAAGAGAATAGATTGTACAAGAAACTATTGCATGGAGCAAAAATATCATGACATCCATGTTTTGCCGACTAAAATTACATTGATTCAATTAAATTAAATTTTATATTTTATTAATTTTATTTTTATAATATAATATCTTTTTAATTTCTTGTCATTTTTCTTTATACTATTATTAATGATAAAATTAATTCATATTTTCTTTCATCTAAAGTGACATATTTTTATTGGAGGAAAAAATTTATATATTTAATCTTATATACTTAAAGTATTTATTTTCAATTTAATCAAAATATGTGTATTTTTTATTGATTATTTATTTTATAACAAATTCTTGTTATTAATAATATTAATATGTTAAAATCCAAATATCTTGATTTAATAAGATAAAAACATGTTAAGTATATAAGGTCAAGTATATAAATCTTTCTCCCTCTATTCAATGTAAGGCATTTTTAACTGAATTTCACCTCCAATAAAGTAGTTATCTACTTTTTAACAAATTTTATCTTTTTATATTTACCTTTATTAAACACTCTACAATAAATATAAAGTTATTATCAATATAGATACTTAAAAAAAAAAAGACAATTAATACACCTCGAAAGACTAAAATTACTTTACATTTTTTAATATTTAACTCTTCAAAAAATATTTTATATTTCTGAATAGAAAGAGTGTTCTTTATTAAATTGTATACAAATAATATGATGTACCCAATCTTTGCAAAAATTTCTCTTAATTAGAATTTTAATCAATATTCACATGTATTAATTGATTATAATTCATTCTCACATAATATCAAATGCACAGGACGGATATGCTTTTGTTTTTTTTTTTGGGGCTAAAATACACATTTCATCTTTTAATTTTATACAATATTATAGTTTGATTTCTTAATTTTATATAATATAATTTTATTTTTTTTAATCTTAGTTTGATTCACAAAAAAAATCCTATATTTAATTTTTAAATATTTAAAATATGTTTAAATGTTGATATATTAAATTTATTTAAAAATAATAGTTATTAACATAATAAATAATTATTTAAAATTAATGATATTATAGTTGAAAGATCGAAAAAAATATTTTATAAAACTAAGAGAACAAACTAAAATCTTGTATATAATTAAAGAATCTAGATTATACTTTAGCATTTTTTTTTCTTTTTTAGTTTTCCCTTGCGATTTAACATTGTCGATGCCGGATCAAAAAATTATTCAAGCCTGGAGGTCGTTACTCGTTAGTGGTATTCCCTCAGACGCTCCGTTTCCGCGACAGGGTTGATCTGCCTTCTGCGAAATTGTCTTTAATCAATCCGCATCAATGGCGATGAGGAATTTCTACAACGAGATCAAAGGTAAAAAGGTGACGGAAATTCCCAACCATGTGAAGCCGATGCTCTCCTTTGACTATATCAAGAATGCCGTTAAGAGGGGTTTAGACAACTATGGCGCCAAGTACATCGAAACCAACTCCATTACTCCTCTCTACCATGTATGCTTTGGAGGCATGATCTTCTCCTATCTCGTTGCGCTTCCCCACGAACGCCGTCACTTAGAGCATCAGCAGCATGCTAAGGGGCATGGCCATGGCGGCCACTAATTTCTCCATCATCGATATTTCAGGTGCCCATCTCAATTAAACTTTCAAGCTGATTGATTGGGATATTTTAGAAATTTAAATTTCTTCGGAGGCATTTCTTAATGTTGATTGTTTGGGTATGGTTAGATCTGGGATTTCGCAATTTTGTGTTACTCGCTTTGCATTGATTTATGTCTTTGAGATTTCATAGATAAGTGGTCTGTTTACTTGTTCCATTAGAAGAGTCTAAATGGGTAACTTTGCTGGGGAAGTATACTGGCTGATACTGCTGTTAAATTGATTAGGTCCCTTGAGATGAAGTGTTTAACTATTTTCTGAGACTTCCCGTTTGGTCCTACCAGATGAGGCCCGCTAGAGTTGCCTTCTTAATGTGATCCCTGGCAGATGAGACACTTATCAATTTAATCCCCTATGTTTCTCAATTTGGTTCTTGACAACTGAAATAATTGTTATTGGCATCCCTTTGTCAATCTAAATCCGTTATTAATCTTCCTAACTGTGAACCTATTATCGATTTATATGATATACAATAGCAACTAATGGTAAATTTAAATATTTTATATCATTTCATTTGTTGATTTCAATTATTTTTTTATAATGTTTTTTTTTTTTTGGTGAGGCAGCTAATTGAGCAATACCCATATTTGAAGAACCAAGTTGAGAAGATAATACTATAAGGGATCAAATTGAAAAATAATGTATCTGTGGAGGACCAAAGTTGAGTTTTAGTCTGTTTTTTGCTCTTTGGATTTGGTTTTGGCGATAAAATTCTGGTTTTCATCACTATTATTAACTTGGATGGGAAGAAAGTGTTGCTTGTATGGATGTGAACAGTCATGTTATATACGGTACACGTTAACTTTGATCCAGTAACTCATGTTATATATTCTCAAGGTAAGCATTAGTTTGTATGTGGATAATAAAGCATGAAAGATGCTACACTAGAATCATTACAATGATATTTTTAACGTTTGATTTTTTTAATTGCAGTGGAAAACTCCATTGTATAAGTTGAAAAAGTTGCAAGTTCTATCTTCTTAATTCATGTTAAGAGAATTTGGTGGGAGGGCTAATCATGCAGGCGTTCTTTGTGCATTCACCTGTTGAATTGATTTTAATTTTAATACTTCAATATTGCATACAACTCCGCCTATGTTTATAGCCGGTCCCAAACCCGGGTAAAGGAGGAGGGTTGTGTTAGGCCATTAACAGCCAATGTAAAACTTTGTTGAATCTATCATGAACATGGACAATAGACGTTATAATGTTAATGCTAGGTCGTTGCCCGTAAGTAACGCGTTGCATGGCTTGAGTACAGTGATAAGTGAGTTAGAGCCGCTGCATCGGCGCCCGGATGTAGTGTTAAATGAGCAAGGGCTACTGCGTCATTCTGGACGCACGCGGCTAAAGAAGTTAGTCCATAAGAGCAAAATTAGATTTGGTACTTGGAATGTTGGGACATTAAATTATAAATCTGTAGAGGTTGTAGGGGTTATAATTCAAAGGAAAATCAATATCCTTTGCCTGCAAGAAACAAAATGGTGTGGAGAAGAAGCTAAGGATATTCAAGGTTTCAAACTTTGGTATACAGGAAAAGTAAGTGCACGTAATGGAGTAGGCATCATTATAGATAAGGAGTGGAAGAAGAACGTTGTAGAAGTTAGCAGAATTGGAGACAGAATTATTTCCTTAAAAATGATAATTGGACGTGAGACTGTTAATATTATTAGCGCTTATGCGCCGCAAGTCGGGACAGAAGCCAGTCTTAAGGAATTATTTTGGGAGGATTTGGAGGGGTTGATTCGACATATACCACAGAGTGAAAAGATTTTTATTGGAGGAGACTTTAATGGGCATGTTGGGAGGGAAGCTGGTCAGTATGCGAGGGTGCATGGTGGTTTTGGTTTTGGAGAGCTAAACAATGAAGGACAAACTCTTCTTGATTTTTCATTGGCGTATGATTTTAAGATTGCCAACACTTGTTTCAAGAAGAGAGATGAGCATCTCATCACTTACAAAAGTGGAGCCTTAAGGTCACAGATTGATTTTCTTTTGGTTAGGAACACAGATAGAAGACTTTGTAAAAATTGTAAGGTGATCCCCGGAGATGCTGTAATGACACAACATAGGGTCCTAGTCCTTGATGTGTGTATTATGAGTAAAATCCAAAAACGTCGACAAGTAGTAACACCAAGGATTAGGTAGTGGCAATTAAAAGGTGAGAAGCAAGATGTTTTCAAGCGAAATCTTTTGGATAAAGGAATTTGGGAATCTCAGGGAAGTGCTAACATCATATGGGAGGATATGGCTAAAAAGATACGGGAGGTTGCAAAAGTAGTTTTGGGAGAATCGAAAGGTTCTGGTCCGAGAGATAAGGAGTCTTGGTGGTGGAATAATAGTGTACAGGACAAAATTAAGTATAAGAAGAACTATTTTAAAGCCATACATTTGTGTAACAATGAGGAAAATTGGGAGAGGTACCGTATGGCTAAGAAGGAAACTAAGAGAGCTGTAGGTAAAGCTCGTTCTAAAGCTTTTGAAGAATTTTATAAGAACCTTGAGACGAAGGAAGGAGAGCAAAATATTTATAAGATTGTCAAGAGTAGGGAAAGAAAATCAAAAGATCTAGAACAGGTAAGGTGTATTAAGGATGAAGAGAGAAGAATTTTAGTTACAGATGATGAAATTAAAAATAGATGGGAGACTTACTTTTCTAAACTTTTCAATGATGGAGAGGATTCATCTAGTAACTTGGAGGATTTAGTAACTGGTGAAGGAGAACAAAATTTGTCATTTTATCGAATAATACGTGATAAGGAGGTAAAGGAAGCTCTTAAGAAAATGGCAAATGGTAGAGCCAACGGACCTGATTGTATATCTATCGAAGCGTGGAAATGTTTAGGTGAAGAAGGGGTGAGATGGTTAACTAAGTTATTTAATGTGATTTTACGGTCCAAGAAAATGCCTGATGAGTGGAGGAGAAGTACATTAATTCCTATTTATAAAAATAAAGGAGATATTCAGAATTGTACTAACTATAGAGGGATTAAACTCATGAGCCACACAATGAAATTATGAGAGAAAATAATTAAGCACAGGTTGAGATTGGAGACAAGTATTTCTGAGAATCAATTTGGTTTTATGCCAGGTAGATCAACTACAGAGGCGATTTATCTACTAAGAGGATTAATGGAAAAATATCGTTGTAAAGATAAAGATTTACACATGGTTTTTATTAATTTGGAAAAAGCTTATGACCGTATACCAAGAGAAGTGCTTTGGAAAGCGTTGGAAAAAAAGGAGTACGGATTGCTTATATTAAAGCCATACAAGATATGTATGAGGGGGTAAAAACTAGTATAAGAACGCCTAGTGGTCAAACAAAGGATTTTCCTATAAAGATTGGACTACATCAGGGATCATCTCTGAGTCCTTATTTGTTCAACTTGATTTTAAATGTTTTGACGGAACATATTCAAGAGGAAATCCTGAAATGTATGCTTTTCGCGGATGATATAGTTCTTATAGCAGAGACAAAAGAAGAGATTAATTGCAAACTTGAGTTATGGAGGAGGACATTAAAGTCGAAAGGTTTTCGTCTGAGTAGAAGTAAGACGGAATATTTATATTGTAAATTTGGTAAAGGAATATTCGACAATAATTTGGAAGTGAAATTAGGAGATCAAATTATACCTCAAGTGAAAAAGTTTAGATATTTGGGAGCCATTATTCAAAATGATGGCGAAATCAGTGGAGATATTTCACATATAATTCAAGCTGGGTGGTTTAATTGGAGAAAAGCTAAAGGAGTTATTTGCGACTGTAAGGTGCCTAATAAACTTAAAGGAAAGTTTTATCGCACTGCTATCAGACCGGCAATGTTACATAGTAGTGAATGCTGGGCTCTAACGGGACAGCAAGAGCATAAAGTTGGAGTAGCAGAGATGAGAATGTTACGATGGATGTGCGGACATATACGTAAAGATAAAATTCGAAATGAACACATACGCGAAAAAGTGAGGGTGGCACCTATTGAGGAAAAAATGGTAGAAAATCGGTTGAGATGGTTTGGGCATGTACAAAGAAGACCAAGAAAGGCACCAGTGAGAAGAGTGGAATATATAACTTTGAGTTCGATTAAGAGAGGTAGAGGAAGGCCTAAGAGAACACTCTTGGAAGTTGTTGAACGCGATCTGTTGATTAATAATATTCCTAAAAGCTTGATAAATGATAGAGCACAATGGCGTCTTGCAATCCATGTAGCCGACTCCACCTAGTGGGATAAAGGCTTGTTGTTGTTGTTGTTGTTGTCGTTGTACTTCAATATTGCATACAGTATACAGTAACGTCCTTTTGTATGCTGCTAAAGCACTTCAACAAACCTTTAATTAGTATAAGCTGCACTGGGCAACCAACTTTCCCAGTATATTTTCCATCTGACATTCTGTTGCTGCTTTCAAAGTACTCTTTTAATGGCAATATCTTTCAATATGTCTCAAATAAATAAGCCAAAAATCACCAAATCATCCATAGTTTAGAATCTGTTCTTGGTAATGAAATCTGACAAACCCTCCATGTGATCTATAAATAAATACCTCACAAATAACTAGTGAATTTTTCCTTTTTGGCTAGTTGCTGCTTTTATCTGATTAACCAAGTAACGTAAATGGTTGGTAATTCAGAACATAGTCTAGAAATTTTATGGTTCCCTGAGATGCAGGTTAAGTAAAATATTTGAATTTCTTGTCTACTTAAATATCCATACTCATGCCCTAGATAAGATAGATATAGTTCTGGAGTTTCAGACTTCCCACCTTTCTGTATGGGTTTGCGTTCTAATCCTCTCTCTTCTCTCTTCCCCTCCTCTCAACTCCTTTGATGATGTTTGGTATGTGAAAACTTCAGTTTTTTAAGTGCTTGTTAGTGTTTGAGCATAACGAATGTATAAAAAGTTAAAATTTTTGTGCGATATACATCTTGAACAATAATATATTATTTTCATACATCTCTTGTGGTTGCATTTGTTTCTGTATTAGGTTTTCAAATCCTTGGAACATTAGAATCCACTCATGATAAATGCCGCTCATGCTATACTTGTTTTAGCGGTTGATAGATGATGTTTTCCTTCTGATGACAGGATCCTGGTCGATGAACTGGAGGTGGCCTTGTGACTTATGTTCTTTTAAAATCATGTGAATGAAGGCAGAATGATACTGTCACAATTTAATCCAGCTCAAAGATGAACGAAATAAGGGCAATTTGATGCAATACTTAATTTTCTTGCGTTTAAATGTCTGTTAAGAGATTGCATTGTTTGGTTCTAATGCTCGAGTTCAGCTGATAAGATATCTTGCTATTACTTAAATATTCGGACGAAGGAAAATACACCATGTTTCCTACAATCAAACACATCCTACCCATCTGCATTTGGGCTTTGTACATTATTTTGGCTGTCCATTCTCTTAATAAAGCGCTTCTTGGCATACGAATGAATGACCATATTCATAAAACCTGTGATATGTATTCGGAGTTGAATCCAAGCTGATGGAAATCAAATTTCTGGCATTCCTTGTAAAGCAGAAAATTTAGCTGGGAGCGCTACTTTCATTAGGCGGTATTATATTTAAGTTAAACCTGATAATACTGAATTCTAGATAATACTCAAATTTTTGAGTTTAGTTGATTTGCTTACACCATTTCAAGGGATTGAGAAAGTTTCACATTTGGTGAATGGTTTTGAATAAAGACTCTGCTGTAAAGATTCATCAAACGTAAAGTAATGAATGACCACTCATAAGAAAGTTTGTCATTTAATGTTTCAGTCATTTCAAGTTTTTATTTATTTTAAAACAATGAATGACCATTTATTGTGACAATGTTATATTTCTTTTTGGGCCTCATTCCTTTCATCATACATGAATAGGTAATGTTTTATACATATCAATTAAACCCCCCCCCCCAACCCCAAAAAAAGGAAAACAGAAAAGAAAAGAATACTCTATGTTGCACCAAAATAAAACGAAAGTATGAAGAATCTTGGTGAATTTCTTAAACTGAAATGGTAAATTGCGCCTGCAGTTAAGAATTTTTTTTCCCATTTCTCTTAATATTTGTTTGGCCAAAATTTTTCTCAACACTCAATGCAAATTTTTTTGTCAATTACTTAGTCTCAAATGGTCGTTCTTTTTTGATAAAAATTTATCTACATATTAAACATTTTAAGTAATAAGTAAATTAATAACAAACATGTAAATTTTTTTTCCCCGTAAATAATGCAGCTAGTTAGAAATTATACCAAAATCTTGCAATCCTTGCTAACTCTAGTACTCTACCTCTGCATGTGTATGTGTAAACTGTACAGTGTAAACACTCTTAAACTTTCACACACGCAAAAAATAAATAAATAAATAAATAACGAGCAAGAAGCAAGTGATAAAATCGTGAATTCGTGATTCAAATATCAACAGCTTGCTGTAGTTGTCAGTTAACTAACCAGTTCCGTTCCCGCTCTTTATATTGAGTTCTTCACTCGTTGAGTTCTTCACATTTCAAATATCTCTCGCTTTCCCTCTCTTTCTCTATATTTCAGCACTTCATTTAACTTTTCGTCCAGAGATCGCAGAGATGCTTGCCGCGCTCAAGTTCGTTCTCTGTCCCTGAGACTAATTCGTTTCTTCTTTATTTGAACTTTTGGTTCAATTGAATTTGATCGATGGCGAACATTTTGTAATCTGACTATTTCCAGATCCGAAGAGTCGAGCCAATTGCAGCTCGTCGAACGGGAAGACGTTGAGGACGATGAAGACCTCTTCGAAGCCGTCGACAAATGTAAATCAAGAACAGTATATTTTCCAGCTATTTTTCTTATTATTTCCTAGATTCATTCGTGAAGTGCTATTTCTATATCTGTCCTCTGAATCGATATACTACTTCACTTTGATTTCATGCCGATGCTTCATTGTTTAGTTGCTCTGTTTATTCATTTTCTGCGTTTTCGATCGCACAATCTCTGATTTTAGTGGTTTTCTGGTCTATAAGATATGCGTTCTCTTTTTATACAGTGGTTGCTCAAGGTATTAATGCCGGAGATGTAAAGAAGCTTCAGGACGCAGGAATATATACCTGCAATGGCCTGATGATGCACACAAAGAAGGTTTAATAGATTTCCTGAGTAATAGTAATTAAATTATTTACTCAATTTTAGTCTTCTAATAATAACACAACTCTTCCGATATAAATATTCAATTAGTCTTTCAATATATCTTTGAACTTTTAAGTAATAAATGATGATTATATTCCATAGCATCTGACCGGTATCAAAGGTTTATCGGAGGCAAAAGTCGACAAGATCTGTGAAGCTGCTGAGAAAATCGTGGTCAGTGCACATTCAACTTGATATGTTTTTTTACTGTTTAACTTTTGATTTGATTTTCCATTCTTTTCCCTTTTGATCCAGAATTTTGGTTATATCACTGGAAGTGATGCACTGCTCAAAGTAAGTTGTTGGACTTTTCCATTTCAATTTTGACTCTAATCTGCTGGGCAACTTGTAGTTTATTTCAATTTTTGTTTGCTATCATGTTACAGAGAAAGAGTGTAGTTCGGATTACAACGGGGAGCCAAGCGCTCGATGAATTATTAGGAGGTAGCTTTGCAGTGTTAAATTCTCCTATGCTATCTTTGTGACTACTTAAACTTTCAATGCTTGTAAGTGACTCAGCTATCTTACAATTGATAGGTGGAATTGAAACACTGGCAATTACAGAAGCGTTTGGAGAGTTCCGGTGAGAACATTGTGCACATACAGTTTCAGAAAACTTTAGTGCCTATCCATTTTTAGAGTAGTCCGTTCTAACGTTCATATATAACGTTTCAGGTCCGGGAAAACTCAGCTTGCTCATACTCTCTGTGTTTCCACTCAGGTTGAATCCCTGCCTTCATATTATGATAGGTGTTGCCGTGTGGACGTGTTATCGATGTGAGGTCGTAGCATTAATTAAGTAGCCTTGAGCTTTATGGCATTATATTAAGCGAACAGAGAGGACCTTAGATTAAAATTTACAATTTGTAGGTGCTTCAAGAACCTGGATCTTAAGTATGAGTATTTGAATCATGCCAAATATCTCTGGTTATATGCCCACGAAGCCTCTCAAGCATAATTTTTTTTCTTTTTAAAGAATTGTGGATGTGGTCCTAGACTAATTTTCTTGCACAACGACATAGTTGAGCATAAACGTTGCATATACACTTGAATGAATTAGCTTCTGACGCAAACTGTTCTTCCTCCGTTTCTAACATGTTTGATCCAGCTTCCTACTAACATGCGTGGAGGCAATGGTAAAGTTGCTTACATTGACACAGAAGGAACTTTGTATCCTCGTTCACATCTTAGTCGAAAATCAATTAGGATCTCGTAGTTTCCCCTCGTGAAAATCTTACGATTGCGTTTTAAAGCATATTTACCCAAATTTTCTGTTTCTTTTATTGTCCATTCAACTTTTCTGTTTTCATCTTAACTTCAAAACTTTATAGCCGTCCCGACCGAATTGTTCCCATAGCTGAGAGATTTGGTATGGACCCCAATGCTGTACTAGACAATGTAAGTTTCCTCTGTTTTGTATATCACAACATAGTGGGGCTCAAACGAAAATACTTACGCTGACGGCTAATTATACATTTTTTCTCATGATTGCGCAAGATTATCTATGCTCGCGCATACACATACGAACATCAGTACAACCTTCTTCTCGGTTTGGCTGCCAAGATGTCCGAAGAACCATTTAGACTTCTGGTGAGTTCTGACTAGGAATTATCTTAGAAGTGGCGTGAGGATTGACACAGTTAACATTTTGCAGATAGTGGATTCTATCATTGCGCTATTTCGGGTGGACTTTTCAGGCAGAGGTGAACTGGCAGAGCGCCAAGTCAGTCCCTAACCGCACATACTTGATATAGCGAAGTATTTTTTAATATATATTTATAAGAACCATTTTGCAGCAAAGACTCGGTCAGATGCTTTCTCGAATAATTAAGATAGCCGAGGAATTTAATGTTGCAGTTTATATGACAAATCAAGGTAACCTGTCCCCTGTTTTATTCGTTTTATTCCCCTAAATTTCCCTGTACTGGGACACATAATTTTTTGTTTTCGGCCTTAACTCCGCAATATTGAATTTTGGTTGCAGTTATAGCTGACCCAGGAGGTGGAGTGTTTGTGACCGATCCAAAGAAACCTGCCGGAGGGCATGTACTAGCTCATGCCGCGACAATAAGGTTGATGTTCAGGAAAGGGAAAGGCGAGCAGCGCGTTTGCAAAGTCTTTGACGCCCCAAATCTGCCAGAGGCTGAAGCAATATCCTTAACCAAGGGTTTGTGAGTTATGAGTCATTCAACTGGTTGGCTGAAAAAGAATTTTTGCAATTCACTAGGATTTTGTGGTTTTTAATTTCCCTTAAATCACTTTATTTAAACTCAGAATTTACGTTAACAATGTGTGATCATATATTCCAAATTAATCGACAAACTTACAATTGAAGCTTAGGTGCGGAAAATCAATGTCATTGCCTAATGCAGTTGGAAATGACGAAAGAGTTGCTTCTATTGCTTGCATGTTTTTCTTGACTGTATCACGTGTTTCAGATAACCCCAGGGGGCATTGCAGACGTAAAGGACTAAACACTTACCGCAGGTTGTCCACCGGCATCAGAGTCAGACAGTACTTTATCGTAGTAACATGGTTAACATTAATCTGCCTACTATTTTGTTAGTTTAGTACTGAATGGTCAGTTGCCAGTCAGCGTTTCCAGCATATCCAGTTTCAGATATCAAGCCAACTTTGCTTTAGTTATATGAAGATTCCTTTTCTGAATGCTATATATATATTGCAATTTTCGTTATCTTTCTTTGCCTTTTTCTTTTTCGGCGAGATGCAAATTTTGTTTTCTTCTGTAACACAATGGGGGACGAAGCCCGGAAAAGATGAAATTCTAGAAAACCCACTAGAATCAGTACAATCATAAAAGCTGGGCCCTGTTCTTCAAGGGTTCCATTACAATTGTTTTTTTTTTTTTTTAAGGTTCTAAACTTCTTAATTCTAATACAATTAGCAAGGCATGGGACCAGACTTAACGAGCCCAAGGGACATCCGTACCCCGGGTTGGTTCGCTGGAAAGAACTCACAGAAGTCACGTTTAACAGGATTATCATTAACCCATTGGATGAAAATGTGAACTAGGCGAGAAATAAAAGCCAAAACAAGCCAGATCATACAGCGAAATTTTTTGGGCAAGGCGGTCCTTCCCCCCCCCCCCCCTGTTTTGAGGCAATAAAGGATCGGCCATTTCCCTTTTTTTTCCCCTTTTGCTTTTTACGTCATCCATTCACATCAGCGCATTTATAATTTGTCAATAATTTCCAAAAGCATGAAAATCAGACCTATACATGCATCATTAATCTCTTGGTGATCCCTTGAGCCTTGACCTCAAACATTGGTGTGAGGACACCCAAAGGGGAAACAAAAGGCACCAAGTTGGTGGCTCAAGAAGTGAACAAAACCCTAACAATACAAAACACCTCTAAGACCCTAAGCCTCACCTCACACTCTCATCCCTTTTAACCCCGTGTAGGGTAAAAATGGAGGACTTTCAAAAAGAAGAAGAATTAACAACAACAACAACAACAACAACAAAAAGAAAGAGAAATGATGGAGGGTGGTACGGGGGATAGTATCTGTGTTGGATTTGGAGAGGCTATTGGGATGTAAGTAAAGTTAAAATAGGGAAAGTGATGAATAACACAAGACATGAATAGAGGCATGAGTTCCAATCCTGTCTTGCCACTTTTGTACTTGAACTTTTGTACCCTTTCTAAACACAATCATTCTCACATTAAAATCCCTCTTCATCAATTCCATCCATCCTGCCAAATTCATGAGGGTAAGGTATATATGTAATGAGGGCGGAACTACATTGATAGTGAGGGGGGCCGCAAGTTCTACCTATATATGTAATGTTAAACACTCACCATATATAAAAACACCAACACCCACTTATGTGATTCACGCCCTACACACACCCACATACATACATACATACATACATATATAGAGAGAGAGAGCAGACAAGTGTTTCATAAAGTCAAAAGAAAAATAGCAAAGACAAAGAATAAAAGAAAAGAAAGTCCTAAAGAAAAAAATAGCAGACAAGTGTTCCACAAAATCAAAAGAAAAACAGTAAATAAAGAAAAGTAAAAGAAAAAAGAAAGCACTGTCAAAAACAACTCAATCACAATTAAGAAAAGCAATCAACATTAAGGAAAGGGCTCCTCAACTAGAGTCATTTTGAACTCTATATAATCAAATGGCTCTTTTATTTACAGACATCACTTAGACATCCTCCTTCTCTCTTTATGAACTTATCTTCCTCTCTCTCTTTTAGCCTATATATATATATATATATATAAAACATACCTCTTATGAAATACACTTATTATATATGAAATATATTTTATATATTATAAAATATATAATTTATTATTTTATTGAAATATTTTTATTAATTAACATGGAAAAAAAGTGATGCATGATGTTTATATGTACATATTTTGTTCATTAAGGATAAAAAAATAAAAAATCATGTAAGACATAGTTTGGACATGTATTTGTTGGAGGAATTGGTGAAAAAGACATAACATACAATTTTGAATTATAAAATGATATATTTGAATTAATGGAGATTTAGATTTAGATTTAGATTTAAACCAAATCCCTTATTTAGATACATAAAAAATTATAAATTTGAATTTGATTTAAATTCAAATCCATTTTTTATTATAATTTCTTTATAATTTTAAATTTTCTCTGTACCTTAATGATCATTTAAAATTTCACTCACTTCAAACATCTAGTTCTTTTCACATTTTTACTATTGATACATTTATGATTCTTACATTTTTTTTTTCTTATTTCCCATTCGCGTCTCTTGTCAACTAAAAAATGAAGATAAACTCATTATTCCTAATTGTTCACTTTCATTTCAAATCTCAACTCATTTCTCTTTTTTATTTGAAATTTTTTTAAACTATCCAAATAAATAATTTTAAATGTGAGATTTGAAATGGAATATTTCCAATCTAAAATCTAAGTCTACTAATCCAAATGCTGCATAAAATAAATAAAGAAAAACTAAAGAGATCGCTTAATGAAAGTTAATGAAAGAGATCTTTTAGTTAATAATATATTAAAAATTTTGATTGTTAATAGAACACAATAATATAGTTTAATCTATGCAGCACTGAGATAATAAAGCTTTCTGGTGGTTGTACTAGCAGTGGATATGTGAAGCACTGTTTTCATAGACAGAGCAGATGTCCTGTGAGCGTGTGTGTACACATTTAGATTAGAATTAACAATGACGGCGTGGAATCCTGGGCCATTTTCCTGAGATTGACAATGATGAATAATGTTCTTCTTAAAATAAAACGGCTTTAATTTCTTAATGATCCAATTTATCTGCTAGCCATTTTCATTCTATTGCTATCTCTTTTATTTCTTACTCGGTTCTTTCTTCCTGCTAGCTAATTGAATCTGCTTCCACTTACTGTCTAAACTCTGAAGTGCTTAGAAGTAAAATTTCTTGCTCAAGTACATCAACAAGCTTAATACATCAACCTCAGACTATTAATCAACATTAAAATTTCTTGCCAGAAGTTTTCTTCCCTGACCTTTCAGATAAATGTTTAGCAAGGAATTGAAATTGCTAAACATTGAAGTCAATATCAGCAATTTGCAGTGATGTGTCAATATCAAAATAGCAGATGGGACTTAAAACTCTGAAGCAACTTCTTATCAGAACTTTCTTATCACATGAAATCATACCAGAAAAAAATTAAATTGGTTTCATGTAAAAAATGAAGTAGTTTTAATTAATCTCCCCCTACAAGGCCTCATTCCTACAATTACTACGAACACAAAAAATGTATGAAGCAGTAAACAGTGGAATACCATGTCTACTTATATAACCACCTTTCTTTTGACGAATTTTTCTTCATCAGCAAACAGAAGAAACATAGCATAATGATGGATTCAACGTATTCCGTACTTGCACCATCTACTACCTTGTTTCTTTTGCTAAAGCAATGTAACCAACGTCACCTCCCATTTCTTCAAACACAACTAAAAGATTCCCGGTTGGCTTTAGCCACCCACGAGGGACATGAAACCTGAAGATCACAATGTTAATAGGAAATCATGTGTAAATTATACATTTACTATTGTAATACAGGTTTGTAGTTCTTACCATCTCTGTGAGGGTGATCCACAATAGAGTCGACATTTTGTATCAGTATAAGTTCCAGCATAATTACACTTGTCAACACAACTACCCTTTGCGATATATGCTGGCCAGTGTCGTCCGATGCTCTGACCATTTATCCAAATCTGACCCTTTCCCATGCTAAGCATATCCAAAGCCAATGGATCATTACCGGCCGGTTCGTCAAAAGTTGTCTGGTAATACCAATGCATACAATGACAGAGAATGTAAGCAGATATGAGGTAACAGGTTGAATTTATAGCATTGGATTGCAGAGATCATCCTTACCTTGTACCAAGTCAAGGGTCTTTTATTGGCCAATTCTGGTCCTTCTGCCCATTTGACAGAGTTACTACCCCTTTCAGCATAAATGGTTGAGTATTCACCTTTCAAGCCAATCTGCACAACAAAAGCAACGGAGCAATATAAACAAACACGTCAGCTACGTAGAACAGAATTTATATTTATAACATATATAGATCAGTTTGTTTTAATGCTTCAAAAATTATCGTCATCCTTATTGCTCCTTCACTGGTACATATTTGTTTGTCATTTGTAGTTTACATCAACCAATATGACAATTTTTCGTTGTTGCTACAGAAAAAGGATAACATAGAAAACAAACCTTGTAATACCATTCCTGTTTTGACAAATCTCTTGTCCCCTCACTTAGACCGCTCAGTGTGACTGGGCCTAACACCCCAACATTCCAGGTCTCAAAGTGAACAGAATGGAAAACACCAACATTCTGGTATTTTTGAGTATAAAAAAGTCATTTATCTGCATATTAAAACTGGTACTAAGAACAAATAAATATCAGAAAGTGAGAGAACTAACCGCGAGGCCCACAGAAACACTAAGTAAAGCAACTTTGTTACTGCCAACATTTAGCTTTACCTCCTGACTAAATGTAAATTTAGCATTTCCCAAACTCCCATACGCAGTTCCTAAATTGATAGATGTGATATATAAGCAAGTGTGGACTTTGTTGAGGCAACATAGATTGTAGAAAACAACATTATTTTTATTTACCTGAATATTGACCATTAACGAAAACATGCAAAGCATGGCCTGCTGACATTACAGTGAGGTTGGCGGATTGTCCATTCTTCAGATCATTACCCCCAATAGTGATACTGAATGTGTAGTATAAATATCATTTAGATGAAGAGGATACTAATAAAAAGTATCAAGAAGATAAAATTTCACTCAGATGATCTTTTGAGATATACTTACTCTGTCATGTACCACAAGTAATCTGTAGAATCCCAAGTGGTAGCAACCTGCTCCACAAGCTCATTCTTTGAAAATACCTCGCCTGCACCGGGAGATCCAGGTATTTCATTGTATGATTGCCATGCAAATGATTTAATTATAGGTGTAAATGTCATCTCAGTGCTTGGTGCGCTAACCTGCATGAAATCCACCACAATTAATGGAGTTCAAATCAATAAGGAGAGTTTTTGTCATATCATCTATCATTCAAAAATAAGTCAAGCTTCAAAAGGGTACATTCCAGTTGTTGCAAGAAATAAATGTGACACTTAGTTGCAAGGATAATTT